AGGAAGGGCTGTGTGGTGGATCACTGAGAGGTGATGGTAATGGAAACAAGAGGGTGGGGAGAGATTGGGGTGGGGAGGGGAAAGGGAGAAAGGAAACAGAGCTAACTCCAATGGGGGAAGGATGAGCCCATAGCTAGTAGACTAAGTGCCTTCCCTACCTCTGCCATTAACTCCCTCGTGCCTCCTTTCTCCAATCAGAAAAATCGTGACAGCAATAGTGACCTGTTTCTTAGGGCACTACCTGGGTTGGATTATGGGCACTCAGGTATAATGGTGAGAAAAGTGAGAGCCTGGCTGGCTCCCTCCATCCACCCACCCACTTCTGTGAGGGTTGTCGCACAACATGCTGCTTCAGAGGTGCCAGTACACCTGGCAGGTCTGATGCCCAAGGTTTTCTCCCCAGCCTGGCCTACTGCACCTTGCAAGTACAGAGCAAGGTAGTGATGGAAATGGGAAGGAACATGAGTCATGGTCTCACAGCCCAGTTGCTAGGTCATGAAGGCTCAGAAAGAAGTGCGGCACTTCTCTGGAGTCTTGCACACATTTCCTCCTCTTTTGGATCCCCTGCCACCTTTCCCGTCTCCCTTTTCTCAATCCTTCTCTCCCATTCTGTCATCATTCTCCAAGTTCTTTCATCCCTCTCAGTAGAGGTCTCAGGGGAGAGCTGCTGGGTTGGAAGGCAAGGGAGTTAGTGAAGCTGTATTTGGAAAGAGAGGTTAGTAAGCTCATGGGGAAGGACTATAACACTAGGAGAGTTATGGGGGACTACTCGTGGGGTGGTCATGAGGTCAGTGCATGTGGGGCCTAGCAGAGATCTGCAAGAGGCTCTGGGGTTAGTCATAGAGTATTTCCTGTGTGCGTAGTTTCAGGTACGGCTCTGTAACTTAAGTTCTGGTCTTCACGGCACTTCCTGGAGAGATACCAGCCTTTGTTTGGTTGCAAGGTTTTTGCCCTGCATTTCTGGCTCCTCCTCTCTGCCTCCCTCAGCCCCCAAGGTGGTTTTTTTATAATTTGATATTTTGCTTATAAACTTCCTCCTTGAGCTGGTTTTGAAGGAGGAAGTGACTGCGGGGAGCTGGGCCTCTGCAAATGTCTCTTCATCTGCTACTCGATAGCTGCCCCAGATAACAGTGCTGCCGGCTTGCAACTAAGAACTAGCTTAACTCTCACACCACCAAACCCTGAAACCCACCTCACATGTTTCCTCCTGTCCTCTGGCTGCATGTCTCATGGGGCAGAAGTGTTCAGTCCATTTTGGGGGTTACCCTGGGGCAGCTCTCTGTTGAGGCCTCGGCTGGGCCACAGAGCCATCATCAATGGGGTGCATCAGCCAGGGTAACGTTTACTCTGCACTTAGATGGCAGAGGTAGGTTGCCTTCTAATTCTGTCAGCAGCTGGAAGCCTCATCTTCGTGATAAGGGGGGAAAAGCAAGTCCTTTCCTGTGTCCAGGGGAGCCTCATCTAACAGACTCCTCCAGGCAATCAACATAGAGACATGGTGGGCTCCGAGACCCAAATGCAAAAATGGAGGAAGACAAGCTGTACTCTCCACATCCACTGTCATGTATCAGTCTCTCCCTCCTACCCCGGCACTGAAGGCTTTTGTGG